TCCCATTTTAGCAGAGGAAAAACCAGCGCAATTTTCCATTTGTATTTTAAAAAATGACTTTAAAATGACTTGACAAACTCAGAAACAAGATCAGTGCAACTTTAGTCTAATTTTTCATTCGCAACAAATTGCCATAGACTGAAGTTGCATTCACCAATAGCAACCAAGACGCCATCTTTTAATTGCTTATGTATTATTCTCAATACCAACTTATTGGCTGATTGTTTTCTTAATCTATTTCTAATACCAGAGAAAACCAAATGTTTTATATAAAATATATATAACAGGGCACGGTGGTTAGCACTGTTGCCGCACAGCAAGAAGGTCCTGAGTTCAATTCCATCATCAGGCCGGGGTCTTTCTGTGTGGAGTTTGCATGTTCTCCCCGTGTTTGCGTGGGTTCACTCCGGGTACTCCGGCTTCCTCCCACCGTCCAAAGACATGCAACTTGAGGGGATAGGTTAATTGGATAATCCAAATTGCCACTAAGTTTGAATGTGAGTGCGAATGGTTGTCTGTCCCTGTGTGTTGGCCCTGCGACAGACTGGCGAGCTGTCCAGGGTGTACCCCGCCTCTCGCCCTATGACAGCTGGGATAGGCTCCAGTGCCCCCCGCGACCCTGAAAAGGATAAGCGGAAGCGAATGGATGGATTGATATATATAACGGGAAAAACAGGGGAAAAAGATGTTGCTTCAAAAATAACCACATTTTCTAATATATAATTTCAACGACAGTGTCATTTTTCAGTCATTTTTATAAAGCTTTATAGGAATGGCTTTGCAAATCCCTTTTTCTTTTTCTTTTTGTGCATTTGACACATTCCGACAAATCCTTGATGATGGGATCTCTTTTAAAGACAACATCAGAGGTGATAAGGAGTCAATGTGTGAAGAAAATGTGTGTGCATCACGTTTTAATGGGAGCTCTGAGCAGCAGGTTGGTTGCGCTGATGATTATGCCTTTGTTTGCAGGGCATCGTGACTGTCCTGCCTTTGGTGAGGTGCTTTGCTTGTGCTTCAGCCTCTGAGGTGCATTTTGAACAGCTTCAGAATGAGTCAACTGAGTGCTGTGAACACAGGTATTTCCTTTTGGTTGAGCAAAATGATACAATTTATACAGGTAATTCCACACTGCAAATAGCCTTCTGAGATATTCAAAAATCATCATCATCATATACCTTCTATGCACACAAAATTTGATGTGCATAGAAGGTATATTTTAATTTATACATACCCTTTATTTCTTACAGTTCTGTCACAAACAGTGACTCCTGTATACTGCTTTGAATTTCTTATTCTGTCCTTTGAGTTTTCTGTCTTCCATCTACCCATATATGCTTTCCTTTTATAACCTTTCCATTTTTTTGTACTTCCTCCAAATTTTAGACAGAGCTGAGTGGAAAAAATCAACATCTTTTGTGTGAACTGTGTCAGATTTTCTTCTTGAGAAAGCTTTATAATCCTTTCGATTGTTTTAACTGACAGCTCTCTTATTAGGGCCATTTTTCCTTTTAATGAGCCTGGTGCAATTTTGGATGTTTAGTTTTTGCAGAATTTGTTTTAGTAAAGCAGACTACACAGTGAAGCCGGGAAAATTGGCAAGCATAATGATTTGAGTAAGTTTGACATGGGCTAAATTTAGATTGGGAGCGCAGGTCAAAGCATCCCCAAAACTGGAGCATTTTTGGGTGTTTTGGCTCTGCAGTGGTTAGTATTGTCGAGAGACAGACTTCCTGTATTGGGGTCATGGGCCACGCAATCAACAGTATCTATCAAAAATGGCTCAAGGAAGGAACAGTGGTGAAACATGGGTCATGTAGCCTCTTTCAGTAGTATAATGCCCCCTGCAACAAAGCAAAGGTGGTTCAGGAATGGTTTGAGGAGCATAACAACAAGTTTGAGGTGTTGACTCAGCCTAAATTTCAAAGATGTTAGTCCAATCAAACATCTGTGGGATGTGCTGGACAAACAAGTCGGATCCATGTAGGCCCCACCTCACATCTTACAAGGCTTAAAGGATCTACTGGTGACATCATGGTGCCAGATACCACAGCAAACTATCAGAGGTCTAGAGGAATCCATGCCTCGATGGGTCAGGGCTGTTTTGGCAGCAATAAGGGGGACCACAACACAGGTGGTCATAATGTTATTCCTGATTGGTATATTTAAGATTTGTTCATTTGCTACAAAGCTGAACTGAATAAACGTCCTGAATGACCTTGGTTAACATTGACTTTAGTCAATAGTCACCTTATTTGGCATATGGCTCAGCTGTAGAGCAGCTGCGAGAGTCCAGACAGTGCAGGCATCAGTAGAAAATCTACATGACATTAAATTCAAACTTAAGCAGCACCAAAGGAGCAGCTGGCGTTGAGGTTAGTTTAGGAATACGGAGTTCGTCATGCAAGGTCAAAGGTATGTGCCTTTTTTCACACTCTGCGCCATGTTACTGTTTACATGAGATGAATTTCTCCAATCGCGGATAGAGACAAAATACTGTTACTGTTAATGTGACTATCTTCAGGTTTTATGCTTACATTTACACACGCAGTTACTGTCCCTCCATTTAGAAATGCAGAGGCGTCACGGTGTAATTATTTTACGTGTAGTTATTTTTTTCCTGTGTAATAATATTCAACATTGCATTTTTCAAAAAAAATGCCTCTCTGTGCAAAATGGGTTCAAAAACATAAACAACTGTGGGATACTGTTTGTCTGTGATTTGGACAGGGGGAACAAATTGTGGCAGGATTATTTGTATCCCACAGTAACTTTACTGTATAAAGAGCTAACATCTCTAAAATGTCAGGAGTATTTAGTCAACTAAAAATCAAGAATGTGGGATACTGTTTGTCTGTGATTTGAAGAGCCCAGCGTGTGCTTCCGACGCAGGGAAAACCAATTCTGTCGGGGAGACCTACCGTGGCAGTTGTGCAGGTGAAGCCAAAGGGAAGATATGCTTCACCATATTTTCTAGTATTTGGCAATGCCTCATCCTCAGCTTTGCATTTGTGTGGGAGCCCCGTAGAAAACCTGTCCATTATGCTAGCAGTGTCTAAGTTTCTTCTTTCTTTCTTTTTTTTATTAATTCCCCCACCACCACCACGCAATGGCTCTGCCGCTCTAGCAACCATGTGCAGGTTAAAGAAGCTTAAACAGTGTGGTAACCCTACTTGCAACAGGATGTTGCCTAAGCTGGCATTGAGTAAGTTGATCTGCAGAGACCATGGCTGAGTTTAGCTTTTGGCCAGCCTGAATAAACATTTCCATCCACTAATGTTCCATTTTATGAACTATTTTGCACTTTTCCCATTGAGCTTCAAGTTAACACCAATTTATCTATGACTTTTCTCAGAGGGTTTCCGTTTAAAATACTCCACCTGCAGCTCGTAGTGATCTATAGGGGACTACGTAGCTGCTGCTTGGGCTTAAAGGACATTTCAAAGACTATAACTTACAAGAGGAAGGAGAAGAAAGACAACCTGAGACATTTCACTACAGGAGATCTCAAAAGCCAAGCCAACCCCTAAATTAATTTACAGTCAGTGGCAACTGAAAACAAGCTTCAAGGCTTGTACAGTCACACCAGCAGCAGGTTCACTACTCTCAGCCTCGCATTTTATCTGTGAGCTGCAGGGATCCACATCCTCAGAATGAAATGACTTGTTGATGGGTGCTCCGCCCGCTGCACACACACTCTTTATCCGAGCATCAGCAGAGCAGACGCTAACAGAAACAACCCCTACTATGCAAACACCACTTACACACGCACAACCCAACATGAACATCTGCTGTCATTGTGACTGTTAATTTGTGATGTTGTCAAGCACATCTTTCCTCACCAGATACTCCTGCTACCCATCCTGCACTCATCAAAAAAGGTCTGTGTGGCTACTCACTGTCAGTTGCTGTGATGCAACTAACGGCATTTATGTGGACGTCACTTGAGCATGTGTATGGCTGCATTACCAGTAGACTGTTTGCATTTATATTTCACATTTATCTCGGCTGAGTCATTTTCAACACTATATCCTTTAAAGCATTACATAATTACAATTGTGAGGCACTTATTTATTTATATTTACATTACATTTTATCCATTTTTTCTTAGTGCTAGAAACAGCCTGCCAAAATGTGCATACCCTCTCATCCATAGGTTTTCAGTAGTGTAGTTCAGTGACTTGAAGCTGCTGGTAATGTGACAGACCCCACCTAGTAGGCAGTTCTCCGTCTCTCAAAGTGGCCACACCCTTAATATTCCATAACTTTAAGCCTTAATACAATTTAAAAATATAAGTTAGCATATATCTCTGTCTCTCTGTATTCTGGTAGCTGGGATAGGCTCCAGCCCCCTCACAATCCTGAAAAGGATAAGTGGAAGACAATGGATGGATGGAGTAAGTGTGCAGAAATTCCCTATACTGTACAGCCATCATGAAGGTGAAAAATTGATTTTAACATGAGAATCTAGAGAATCTATGAGGATTGATACACTGGAGTGACCTCAAGTAGCCATTCAAAGAACCCGCTACCTGAGGTGTCCATTTGTTTTTCCTTTTTAAAAATTTAAAAACAAAATTAAAGCTAAAAGCTATTTATTAGTGCAAATTACTTCTACAGCGTGCTTCCCCTCACCCCCCCTACCAGTCGAGGCAGTGTTTGTTGATCACTTTACTACTGTCAATATGTTAATCAGTTTCATAGAGAGACTCAGGGCGTCACAGATTGTTTACGGTTCCAATCATAAGAGTGAAAACAAAAGGACTTGGAAACACTAAAATAATGCTGCTTACACATGACGAGTCAGCATTAATAACAACACATAATGCAAAGGACATTATAGTGCAGAATGAGTACTTTGACTTTTCTGAATGGTTACGGTAAGTAGGGCTGGTGTTCTGTTCTTCCTTTTACTTAACAAAAATGATATTTTATCACTCTTCCTCCATCAGTTGATGGTTTGGTTTGCAGAACTACGGATAGAAGATGGTGTCACTGACCTGCAGTTCATCCCCAGTGGAGGCTTCAACCCTTCTTCCTGTGAATAAGAAACAGCTGAAATAAACCTCAGAGAGCAGGTGTGTGTTTCAAGGAGCCTACAATGCAGAAGCATTGCACAAGAAAGAGAGTGCTGTCAAAAATATCACATTACGGAGGAGAAGTGACTGTTTTTAAACCATTTCCTTCCTCAATCCAGTTTCAGAGCATTGAAAGTATTGAGTAATGCTTAGTTGCAAAAGCATTGCATATTACATTATTTAAAAAATGATTTGGGTGTCTGCAATTAGTTGGAGGTTTATTTTCCTTGACGCCAAATGTATTCATCCATAGCTAATGTGGTCATCTGACACTGTCAAAATATCACAGCAGAGAAAAAAAAACAAGGCATGGGCAGCAAATGAGAGTGAATGCAGCCCTGACGTGATGGTTGGGTTGATGAAAGAGGAGAAGCTATTTTTAGATGAGGGTGTCAGAGGAGAGGGAGGAGGTGGGGGCATGGGGGAAATGGAGGTGATGCGGGTCCAGGGATCAAAGTGATGGCGCTGCTGTAGCTGGAGTTAGTTGTGGCATTTCTCAAATTGTTCTGCTTTCCTGCGCGTTCGTAAATGACGGCAATGCATCACCGCCTGAGGAGGGAAGGGAGCTAATCAGTGTTCTCAGCACTCATCTGAGCCTCTGCTTAGTTCGTGTCAGTCTTTGCAATGCTGTTTAGTGCACTTAAACAATGGCACAGAGCTGCAGCTACAAACAAAACAAACACAAGTTGAAAACTGCTAAATTTTTTCCTTTGGGCAGAATATTAATCACTGCCACAGACTGAATATAAAAAAATAACTTTAGATGCGGCCCCATGTTCAACTGTAGCGACTTCATGAAATGAAAGATCTCATAAAAAGTGTCATTTAACCAGCTGACAAACAGCTGAACTGTTAACATCCTTTTGGATACATACAGAGACATATACACTCATCAGCTACTTTGTTAGGAACCCGTGTTCAACTGCTTGTTACCACAAATATCTAATCATCACTAGAGTATACAGAGAACGATCTGAAAAAGACAAAATGACCAGTTAGCAACAGTTTTCTGAGTGAAAATACAATAGTGATGCTACAAGTCAGAGGAGAATGACTATAAAGTAACTGAAATAACCAGTTGTTATAATCGGGGTATGCAAAAGAGCATCTCTGAACCTACAACATAGTAAATCTTGAAGCAGATGAGCTACAGCAGAAGGCCACGCCTGTGCCAATCCCATCAGCTAAGAACAGAAAACTCGAGTTCACACAGAGTTGCCAACAGTGGACAACAGAAGCAGGGCCATAACCAGGGTTTAGAAAGTAGTTTCTTTTAATTGGTTACCTAAAATCTAAATCTTTATCGTTAGATATTGACACTTGGAGTTGATGTAAAATTGCATACATTTTTCTTTAGTCCTGAATGTTAAATGTGGCTCTCACTTATGGTTAAGAAGTTACCAAGGTTCAAAAAATGCTGACACAAAAGGTGACCAAACCAACAAATTTCAGCCCACTGTGTTCAAAATCACAGAGTGATTTTTCATGGATTGACCCTACAGCAGGGGTGTTGAACTCCAGGCCTCGAGGGCCGGTGTCCTGCAGGTTTTAGATGTTTGACACCACTGCCCTACAGTACATACACTACCAGTCAAAGGTTTGGAAACACCTTCTCATTTAATGGTTTTTCTTTATTTTCATGACAATTTACATTGTAGATTCTCACTGAAGGCATCAAAACTATGAATGAACACATGTGAATTATGCGTGAAATAATTCAAAACATGCTTTGTATTTTACATTCTTCAAAATAGCCATCCTTTGCTTTTATTACTGTACTCTCTTGGCATTCTCTCCATGAGCTTCATGAGGTAGTCACCTGAAATTGTTTTACGCAGCCTTTCAGTTCCCAGAGATGCTCAGTACTTGTTGGCCTTTTTGCCTTCACTCCGGTCCATCTCATCCCAAACCAGCTGGGTTTAGGTCATGTGACTATGGATGCTAGGCCATAGTGGCTGTAGCTCAGGAGGTAGAGCTGCTGATCGGAAGGTTGGTGGTTCAATCCCTGGCTCCCCCAGTTTCCATGCCAAATATCCTTGGGCAAGATACAAACCCCGACTTGCTCTCCAATGCATCCATCGGAGTATGAATGATAGTTAGAAAAGCGCTCACCGTATAGATAATAGTGCTTGTGTGTATGGGGTGAATGCAGTGTGTTGTATAGAGCGCTTTGAGTACTCCAGGAGAGTAGAAAAGCGCCATATAAAAACCAGCCCATTTACCATGCCATCTGACGCAGCACTCCATCACTCTCATTCTTGGTCAAATAGCCCTTACTCAGCCTGGAGGTGTGTTTGGAGGTCATTGTCATGTTGAAAAATAAATGAGGGTCAACTAAATGCAAACCAGGATGCTGTGGTAGCCATGCTGAATCAGTGTGCCTTCAATTTTTTCATCATTGTCACCAGCAAAGCACCCCCGCACCATCACACCTCCTCCTCAATACTTCACAGTGGGAACCATGCATGTAGAGACCATACGTTCACCTTGTCTATGTTGCACAAAGACACAGCAGGTGGAACCAAAGCTCTCAAATTTGGACTCATCAGGCCAAACACAGCTTTCCACTGGTTTAATGTCCAGTCTTTGTGTTTCTTGGCCCAAACAAATCTCTTCTATTTGTTGCTTTTGCTTAGTAATGGTGTCTTAGCAGCTATTAGATCATAAAGACTCATTTGCGTTGTCTCCTCGGAACAGTTGATGTGACTGCTACTGGAAGTCTGTTTGGCATTTATCTGGGCTGCAATCTGAGATGATGTTAACTTGCAATTTCTGAGGCTTCAGTCTCCAGAGACTGAAGAAGTCACTTGGATGAGTGAACAAACGTTTCTCCCACTGAAAACACTATGTCCAAATGAACAGAATCAACCTTTTGGGATTTACTTACCTGGATGATTGAGCATGCATCAAGTTACACCACTGAATGAAAATAATGTTATTGGTTTTTCATGTCATTATTATTCTCTGCGTGGAATTTATTTAGAGTTAAAAAGACTGCAATAAATACAATAGATTAAAAAACGGTGGTATTTCCAAATGAAATGGAGCAAAGTAGCAGTATGAGGTAGTGTGCAGTTTGGTTTTCCCCTTGTTTCTAGTTATTCTATAAATATAACTTCTGCTTATTTTTGTGCTCACATAAGCACAAATCTTCAAGTGTTACATTAGTGATTAACACGACACAACAGTATGAATAAAATACTACAGAAGCACTTGAAAGAAATGCTTAAAGGAGAAATTCACGCAGCATGGAAATCAGAGCACATACAATGCACACAGTTAGTACAAAACTACTAATATAAAGATAGAAAGTTAAAGCAAGCCTACAAATCAGCATTACATTTCAGATGTAATAAAAAGAGACTAGGTGTCAAGGAGTCCCAGAGGCCAGTACGTGGGAGTGGACCAAATGCAGGCACAAACAGAACAGCGTTAAGGTTTTCAAAAGCTTTATTATAAACACAGAGATAAGCAATGACAAGACGTGAGTACGTGGTGGGGAATCTCAGACGTGGATGCACAGTAACAGAGGGAGAGTGTGGTTAGGACCTTGCTTTTCCTATATTCCTGAGAAGACGACGGGCAGCCTCCTGGCAGGCATTTGAGTTGTTTAACTTCCGAGGAGTTACGCAGTGGCTTGACGAGGTTACTGAAGGCACAAAGCGATCAAGTTAAGCACATAGCATAAACATGGAATGAGGCCTGGTTACCACCATGAGGTAGCTGACAAATTGGTGAAGAACAGATGACAGAGGACTGGAGCGCACCGGCTTGACTTGGGAAAAGTAGAACATAGGATCTATGCGTATGGATGAAGGGAGTTTAAGTTTAACTGCCATAGGACTGATGACAGACTCAATTTCATAGGGTCCAAAATAGCATGGGGCGAGCTTGTTGGAAAATTGCCTGAGGGGAATGTTCCTGGAGTAAAATTAGGCGCAGGTCTTCTTAGTCGATCCACGTAATGGTGCTTTCAAACAACGGCCTTTAGTAGCACCTCCCGAGTTGCAAGTGGTGTTGAACAGAAGTAACAGCGAGATCAACCTCATTCTGAAGGAACAGGGGTGGATGATAACCTAGAGAGGCTTCAAAAGTTGAGAGACCAGTTGTAGATGAGGTAAGTGAATTATGTGCATACTCTACCCAAGGAAGATGCAAAGAGCAGGTTACCGGGTTTAGTGTGGTGACACAGTGGAGGGCAAATTCAAATTCCTGGATGAGCATCTCAGTCTGGCTGTTGGATTGTGGGCGATATCCAGAGCTGAGGCTGACCTTGGCTCCAAGAACGGTGAAGTGAATTGAGGACTCCTGTCTGGGAGAATTTTTGTAAGGATACTGTGGAGACTCAAAATATGACCAACCAGGAGCCTGGTAGTTTCAGAGGCAGAAGGGAGTTTGTCCAGAGCAATAAAATGGGCTGACTTGAAAAACCTATTAAATATTGAAAGAATTACGGACTTCCTGGAAGAAGGCAGGCCGGTGACAGAATTGAATCGAATCTTGAGTGCCGTTCTTGCTTCATGCATAGATGGAGCAGGCGGCCACATAGTCTTTAACATCTCTTTCTGTTCCCCATCAAAAGTGGTGACACTTGATTAATGAAATAGTCCTACTTACACCTACTTACTTGGTGGTGTGAACCCAATGGATGACTGCTGAAAGGGCTGGAATGGGGACATAGCAGTGATTAGGTAGACTGGTACCTGGGTCAGGCTCATCCTGAAGAGCCTGGTGGATTGACGTCCCAGGAGATGAAGCCACCATGAAGGTGGCAGGGAGGATGGTGGCAGTCTCGGGTGGGTCATTGTTGGTGGCAAACTGGCGGGACAAGGCATCAGGCTTGACATTTCTGGAGCCTGGGCAATAGGAAGTAGAGAAATAGAGAAAATGCAATAAAAAAAAAAAAGCTAATGGGCTGGGCTGTCATTGAGCCTCTTGGCGGTTCTTAGTTAAGTTAGGT